CAATTTGTAAGAAACACAATTAACCCCCCCCCCCCCCCCCCGGCACGCAACCGCACATTTGTTCCCGCCCCTGAACTATATTAATATTCCATCTACCCACCCGCTTTTATACCGCAGATTTATTTCAACAACTATTTCAGAAGAACAAACGCACCAAACGCACTAGCGATAATTTTTAATGAATCTCATTTAGCGCAGTTATCGGGAATTTTATTTTATCTTCCCCTTAAAAAATAGGAAAAACTGATTGTAGGGTTTTGGGGGTGGGGCTGAAAATTTTATCGAATGTGTTATAAAACTCAACGTGTCTATGTGCTAAGTTTTAGCTCGATAGGTTGATGAGAAATGGGTCAATTAGTCGTCCGAATATTTTTCCAGCCAGGAACGATTGTGCTGTTAATATAAAGGATTTTAAAAGCTACTTATGGACGATCAGAATTTCAGAATAATTATTTTTGTGTGAATCAATGTAGGTAACAGCAAGAACACAGTACATGAACTGCTCATTCCTGCCAAAGACAATCAGGGACTGGAACAGCCTTCCAAAAGGAACAGTTGAGACGACAACACTTGACACATATGCGTCTATCGCCTCAGGCCTTCCAACCCACAGTTCATGATACCCTCGCTGAGTAGCCCTTGCAACCAGTGATATATCCTCTTCAGTACCAGTCACAGAAACATGTACATACACAAGAGCCAGAAGGATCAATACATTGATCGTGAGCCCTTACTCTACAGAAGAAAAAGAAGGTTTGCCTACTTTCTGCCGAGACCCCGTCACTTTTTTTATCCCCCGCCATTGACAATTTCTCTAACATCGACAATGCCCCCCCAGTAGTGTAGTAGGTATGAATCAGGGCGTAAAATGGCGGAGGTTTGACGGAGGTTCTCCGCCAAGGGGCATAACCCGATAATGACTGTCTTATAAAAGTGACCTCCCTTTGTTGTCCGAGCGTAATTATTTTTGTATTGATTATTTTTTGTATCGTGTAATTATAGTTGTATTATTGTACAATGGTATATTTGATTAATGACGACATCAATGACGACATCAATGACGACATCAAAGACGACATCAAATAGATAACAAGAGAGGTTTTTTTTATATATTACTTTTATTCATATTTTATGACAAGTGCATGATTCAACAGAATCATGATTGATTCAACAGAATCACAATTTTATTGCATAATTTTAATATAAGTGGTTCTCAAATTTCTATTGAGTGGTTCTCATTTTCTCTAATGAGTGGTTCTCATAGTGTTTTGGGTATATTTTTTTCTTGTATTTTAATTAGTTTTCATGTCTATTTTAAGTGATTCTCATAAAAACAAAAAAAAAAAAAAAATGTATATGTATATAAGAACCATATTTAAGAAATAAATTATATCAAACTAAATACGCCACGCACGTGAAACACATAAAAGGGCCTTTCCATTAAATGATGACACGCCTTTCGACAGATTTATTTCCCCCTGCCAACCCCCTTCCTCCGTCACAAGTTTGTGACAAATTAGATACATGCAGCGCCCTTTAATCACACTTCATCACATACACACACTTCCATTAAACGCGTAATGCCGTTTATGGTGACATCAAATGTTAATGATGGGTTAAATATCACTTTTGCTATCATACTACTAGTCAGATAGGGGCCGTCCATAAAGTACGTCACGCTCCAGAGGGGGGAGGGGGTGTAAGAAAGTGGGACAGGGGTGAGGGGGGAGGGTTCAGGCCATGTGTGACGTCACACATTTATTTTTTAAAAATTCATTTCTATTTTATTTTTTATTTTTTTTAGTAGAATTTAATAGCTTTAAAAATAATTTTCAAAAATTTTGTGAAACATTCGAATTAGTTTTATGTCAAAACAGCATGAAATGCATATCTCCTGAATGTGTTGTTCACGATTCCTCTCGCTAGGAGCGCTAGTATACTGTTGCGAAGCCTTGTTTTATGTATAGCCTTGCTTTCGTCATGCCTGAAGTAGTATTATTTCTATGTTGTCCGCTGCATAATTCTGTCACTGTCCTTTTTATTATTTAATCACTGGGTGAGATCAAGTTTCGCTAATCTACTTCTAATCCTGTGTAAAAAGATTGCATAATCGGAAGATTATCTAAAACTTGACCTCACCTATTGTAAATGAAAAAGCAGCAGATAAATGATGTGTATTATATAATTGTCTTGTCTAATTTTTGCAATCTTTGTTTTCAAATTCAATCTAGATTGAGTTACTGCTTCAACGAATAACTGTGACAACTGTTGACAATTAACTATTCTACTATTAAAGTCATTTTAATGATGTGATAGTTCTTTTAATTGGAAATTTTGTATTTTAATACAGTTTAATAGTGAAGTGTGTTTTAGATTAAATTTTAATTAGGTGGCAATTTTTAAATAAAAAATTGTTCGAAAGTGGGACGTACTTGGGGGGGGGGGGGGCAGTGGTCCGATATTTGTGACAGTTTGTGACAGGGGGAGGGGGAGGTAAAAATGGTCAAA